GGGCTGGAGAAAGCCCCGGCTGGCGGGCATGACAACGGCGCGGCCGGCACGCTTAACAGCTGGGCGGTCTTTGTACCGCGGAGACGAACAGGGGAGGAAAAGGAAAACCAAAAGACTGTTCGAAAACGAAAATAAAACACGGGAGAAGGAGCGCCGCTTACTGTTTTGGTCAGTCGTTCCACTTTCAAGGACCTATGTTTGTTTTCAAGTACTTTCCAGGCCTTGAATCCATGTCTGAAATTCAAGTACTTTCAAGAAGCGTGGGAACCCTGTTAATTACTTATGTAAGGATATGTAAATGTAAGGATTTTAAGATTCTCAAGTCGGTAAACTAATTAATAAGGGGGAAAAAAGTAGATCAAGGATCGTTCTGGAATTGGATCGTGACTCCCAGAATCGGAATCGGATCGTGAGGTGACTAAAGATTCCCACTCCTACTGAACACAGGACTGACAAAAGCATGCATACATTCTCCACCCACTTCACATTCTAATGTTTTAGGTAGTTAGTTAACAACTTTATTAATCCCCCAGTTTTATAACGTCTTTTTCTCCCTTCTCTCACTGTTTTTTTTTACCTCTCTCTTTTTGTCATTTCCATTCCTCCATCTTTCCAGTTTCCTGCAGCCGTAGGATCTGAATCATTTATTAAGCGCATCATTAAGAATGCACAAGTTTGTTCTTTTTGTGGTAGAAACTTAAATAAACGTGGTGCTGCAGAAAACTTGCTGAGGAAAAACACATGGACATACATAAATATACACTATGAAGAATACACATACATATATTATATAATATAATCACTGTAGTGTTGTGACAATATAAGCTGTCTTTTTGGGATTTTAAAAAGAGGGTTTTGAAGGTTTGAGTGCGAGTTAAAAAATATGCTTTAGGGGATTTTCGCAATCTACACTTATGTTTACTGTAAATATTTTACTACATAATGTATTCCATGTATGTCTTGTCTCTATCTAAATGGGTGAATCTCAAGAAAACTCAAGAAATAAAAATGAAGCCTATTTTTATGGCCATTAAGATTTTATGCATTGTGACATTATTTTCAGTACAGTTGAGCACATTCACAATTACACACATCAACAGTAATGGATTTTTTTGACATTTGAAAAACATTTGAACATTATTGCACAATTCTGAGTAAATATCATGACAGTATTTATTGTACTGAATTTAATTTAAGCTGATATGAAAATGGAAATGCTTATTGTCATAAAAGTTTCACTGTGCAAAAAAAAAGAAAAATCTTATTGGTCCTACAAATAGGCCTATTTATTTATGCATAATATATTTTTTATTTTATTCTTTTGTTTCTTATATATTTCTGAGATTTACATTATTTTTCATGCAAATAAATAATCAGATGTGAATCTACTAGGCCACATCAGAGTAGCTGAATGTTTTTCCCTTGCTGTCCAAACTAGATGAGCGGGAGGCTGTCCAGAAGAAGACCTTCACAAAATGGGTGAATTCAATATTAGCCAGAGTCAGCTGCCGAATCTCAGATCTCTATCTAGACCTTCGGGATGGGAGAATGCTCATCAAACTACTGGAGGTTCTGTCAGGGGAGAGACTGGTGAGTGTAAGGTGTTGAATGTGTAACAGTGTCAAGCCTAGATTTGTCCACACCATGATACGAGAATTAATTGTCATTTACTGAAGTCATTCCACTAATATCTTTGACTCTACATCTTTTTCCACCATTCAGCCCAAGCCAACCAAGGGCCGAATGCGCATCCACTGTCTTGAGAATGTGGACAAAGCTTTACAGTTTCTAAAGGAACAGAGGGTGCACTTAGAGAACATGGGATCACATGATATTGTAGATGGGAACCATCGGCTCATCCTAGGCCTTATCTGGACCATCATTCTTCGTTTCCAGGTCAGCCCATTATTCTATACTTTTCTGACCAATCTATTAATTCTGTGCCTCTAAGTATAATTTAAACCAAACAATAAGGAATAAGAAAAGTTTAGATATTAAAAACTAAAATAAAACATTTTCAGGCTATAAAACACAGAACAAACCTTCTGATATTACAGTGGACCTACAGCAAAGTTTTTGTATTGTGTCTTTGCCTGATAAGAAAAGCTAACATTTATTTGGCTGATTGGAAAAGCTTTTATTTATTTTTACATCTCTCATTTTGATAGCTGGATATTTTTAGCCCAGCTAGTTCAAACACTGTAGTCTGCTACATAATTCAGACCCTCAAAAATGAAAGGAAAAAGACCGGAATGGGAATTGTTGACTGCTCTTTATTCTGTCTGCTTCCCACTGCGATGTGCAAACTATTAAGACATAAAAAGTCAGAATCTAAATAAAGTAACAATGCCTCTGCATATCCAAGAATGGATGCTCAAGGGCAACTTACAGTAGCTCTTCTAATTAATGTGAGATTTAGAGTACATGAAATGTCAACCGATAAGAGAATTTACTGCCAGGGCCGGACTGGGACGCAATTTCAGGCCGGGAAATCTCACAGTCATCCAGGCCACACAGAAAAAAAAGAGGCCAAACTGGTACCTTTTGGGGTACAACAGTTTGTCACTGGAGCAGTACCCTTAAAATAACATTTTTGTACCTTTTTTCCCCTAATAGGTACATAGTAGTACCTTATAGTAATTTGTACACATAAGGTACTAATATTTACCTATTAGGGGTAAAATGCAAAAATATGTCTTTTTTAAGGGTACTGCTCCAGTGACAAGCTGTTGTACCCCAAAAGGTACCTTTTTGGCCTCTTTTTTTCTGTATATAGCCTATTGACCCACTACAAATTCTGAAACCACAGCTAACCCTATTATTTAAATGGCCATCACATAAGAAGGTCTAAATCCTTGGTCTGGGGCCGTGAAAAATAATGAAAGGTTGAACTGCACCTTCACTTCCCATTTTACTTTTCTTAATTTTCCCCGATATCTCTGTCTCTCCTTTTTTTATTGTACCTGTCACTTCTTGACCAGCAGGTCTACTGTTATGAACAGAACTGTGTCCATCTTGTTGCAAAACGCCCACCTCATTGCAATTTGTTATCACAAAATGTTATTTATCTTAAAATGACTTAAATACCCAATATTTAACAAACCTATATTTCATACAAATATATCAAAACAATTTTCTAAAGTGCCTAAAAGTCAAAATCAGTACAATATCTTTTTTGAAAAATCCTAATACTGAACACACTATTGCATTATTAGGCTGTGATATTTTTGTGTTGCCGTCTGCTCAAGCTCCCTCCCTTCCTATACAATAAATCCATGAGAATATCTGTCTGCTAAATTTATTAATGTAACTTTCCAATCGATAATGATGTCCTTTAGAACAGTATTCTGAATGATGTTAAAAATAGGGTGCCCCTGATAGCCTAACAGGTGCTAGCAGTTTAATACTCAACTAGGTTAATAAAGACAAAACTCTTTAGCATATTTACAGATGAAACTGACCTGCACCTAAAGCCCTGAACAGGCATTTTTGCTACATTTCGCTGCTTCTTCTGGTCGCTTCCTCTCCTTCATCGAGGCCCACGCATCGACTCTGTTTGAAACCGTCGTTTGAAGCGCGGAACAGACGTGAGCCGATTTGTATAGTGCAGCGCTGCCAGTCAAGACTAACCGATTTATGATTTATTATCGATTTATTATCGTATGACAAAATCGGAAATGATCACTTTGGTACATTGAGAAGACAAAAATATAAAATATTAATAAAAATAATAACTAAAAAAAAAAAAACAGGGCAGCGGGGCAAATCAGCCGCCAGGCCACCGGGAATTCGCCCGGTGTTCCCGATGGCCAGTCCGGGCCTGTTTACTGCTTATAAATGCTTAAAATCAAAAGGAATGTCTAGCTAACAGAAATACAATAAGAGTTCCAGAAAGAGGTATGAATATAGTTTAAATGCACATGTGGGATTTATTTCAGTTTATGTAATTTTTTTTCCTTATACAGATTCAAGACATTATAGTAGAGACAGGACAAGCTGACCAGACAGGCCGGCAAGAGACCCGCTCGGCCAAAGATGCACTTCTCCTCTGGTGCCAGATGAAGACTGCAGGGTAGGACAACAGTTGTCATACTTCAATAGTAATGAAGCTGACAGCAAATCCTCTATTTTTATGAGAAATCTGTGGTTGCAGATTTGTCTTATGTCGTTTTGTCTGTGCAGGTACCCCAATGTAAACATCACCAATTTCACCACAAGCTGGAAAGATGGCATGGCTTTCAACGCTCTCATTCACAAACACAGGTGATAAATATAAATAATTAATAATAATAAAAAATAAAATAAAATGTAAATATTAAGACAAAAGATAGCTTGTGGGGATATTGTTTAGTGGTTAGGAGACATGCATTGATACACTGAGCAGATGTGTTCATATGGATAACAATTGTCTCTTCTAGACACCACTGAGATTAAATGGAGAGAGACCTTTTCTAGACCATCTCATATTTCCTAGATTTCCCTAAGAATTTAGATTAGATTTCTTAGAATCTCTAGCAACCACTGAGAAATGAAACTGATCCTGTTCCTCTTCATACTATCCTATCAATAAAAAATTTATGTAAATGAAATAACCTCTCCATTTCACTCTATCAGGCCAGATCTGGTGGACTATGGCAATCTAAGGAGGTCCAATCCTACTCACAACCTTCAGCAGGCCTTTAATGTAGCTGAAAAAAAGCTTGGTGTCACCAAGCTCCTGGACCCAGAAGGCAAGTAACCCCTGCTGACTATTAAGCCAAACATATAATAATTATCCTCCATCCTATAGAGAATACATCTTTATATTGTATTGTTGGCAGATGTATTCACTGAGAACCCAGATGAGAAGTCCATAATCACATACGTTGTTGCATTTTACCACTACTTCTCCAAGATGAAAGCTTTGGCAGTTGAGGGCAAGCGAGTTGGCAAGGTGCAAAATTTGAGCTAGTCCGCTCCCATGTGAATTTTATGTGTTTAATGCAAGAGGACATTTTAATTGACCTATACTCATATTCTACAGGTGCTAGACCAGGCCCTTGAAACAGAGAAGATGATTGAGAAGTATGAGACATTGTCATCAGACCTGCTAACATGGATTGAGCAAACCATTATTGTGCTGAACAACCGCAAGCTTGCTAACTCCCTTACAGGCGTCCAACAGCAATTTCAGGCTTTCAACTCTTACCGTACTGTGGAAAAACCACCTAAGTAATTCAGGCTATTTATGAACAAATGTCTCTTTTTTGTAGTAAGCAACCAACTGCTAAGCAACCAACTTTTTAACTCTAACTCTTCAGATTCCAGGAGAAAGGCAACTTGGAAGTACTGCTGTTTACCATCCAGAGCAGAATGAGGGCCAACAATCAGAAAGTCTACACACCTAAAGAGGGTGCACTGGTGTCTGATATCAACAAGGTAAGATGCTAAGGTTAATGCTGCATTGCCTGTGCTACCAGGAGTTGTGTGCTCTGGCAGCTCAGAGGAAAGCCCGACTTGAGCAGTCGCGACGACTTTGGAACTTTTTATGGGAAACTGCAGAGTTGGAGAGCTGGATTCGGGAAAAGGAGCACATCTTCTCCTCTCTTGACTATGGTAAGGACCTGACCAGTGTGCTGGTACTGCAGAGCAAACACAGTGTCTTTGAGGATGAGCTTGCTGCCAGACAGGACAACTTGAAGCAGGTGATGGACGAGGGAGAGAGCATGATTCAGGCCAAGCACTTGGGCTCCCCCAAAGTGCAGCAGCGCATGGATGATGTGCAAAATCAGTGGCAGCAGCTGGAGGAACTGGCCGCCTTCCGTAAACAGAATCTGCAAGACACCCAACGCTTCTTCCAGTTTCAGGGTGATGCTGATGACCTCAAAGCCTGGCTAGTTGATGCTATGCGGCAGATGAGCAGTGATGACGTTGGGCATGATGAGTACACTACACAGCGACTGCTCAAGAAACACCGTGACTTGAGAGATGAAGCCGCTAAGAACGGAGCCACCATTGACGCTCTATCCAAACAGGCCAATGCACTTCCTGAGGAATTAAGGAACACACCAGACATCCAGGGGCGTCTGAATGACATCCGGGATATGTATATTGAGCTTTTGACCCTCTCAGACCTGAGGCAGAAGAAGCTGGATGACACCATGGCTCTTTACACAATATTCAGTGAGACAGATGCTTGTGAGCTCTGGATGGGCCAGAAGGAGACATGGCTGGTTGGGCTGGAGACACCAGAGAACTTGGAAGATCTAGAAGTTGTACAAAACAGGTATTGCTATTAGTTTTATGAACCCAGAGACAGTACTGTAAGTGTGTTTCATATACTGGGAAACTATTCCAATTTATGCCACTGTTATAAAATGTTTGTTTGCAGGCTAAGCATTCTTGCTCAGGAAATGGGTAATATGCAGGCTCGGGTTGATAACGTAAATAAAGCAGCCAAACAACTCGAAGACAGCAGACATCCACAAACAAAACAAGTGAAAGACTGTCAAACTCGTCTCAATAGAAGGTAAGAGTTATAATCCTGGATGTGAAAGCCAGTTCTAATGAAAAATACTCTGTAATGTTCCTTTGGAACTTTCCTTTTTATCTCTTCTCATAGATGGGAAGCTTTTAAAGCAATGGTAGAGGATAAGAAACACAAAGTAGATTCAGCCCTCAGCCTACATAACTATGATCTTGAATGTGATGAGACGGAATCATGGATAAAAGAGAAGACACGGGTTATTGAGTCAACACAGGACCTTGGGAATGACCTGGCTGCAGTCATTACCATTCAGAGAAAGCTCTTTGGCATGGAAAGAGACCTTGCTGCCATCCAAGATAAGTTGGATTTCCTACGTAATGAGGCCCAGGAGCTTGTGAAGGACCACCCAGAGAATGCTTCTGATATACTTGCCAGACAGAAAGAGTTGGATGCAGCATGGGACACCTTGAAACGCACCCTGAAAAACCGTGAAGACTCTCTTGGGGAGGTCAGCAAGCTGCAAACATTCCTACAGGACATGGATGATTTTCAAGCCTGGCTTTTCAAGACACAGAAGGCTGTTGCATCTGAAGATATGCCTGATGGTTTACCAGAGGCTGAGCATTTCCTGAGTCTTCATGATGCTGTGAGGGCTGATATGGATAGCCATGAAGAAGACTACCACCGTGTGAGGGACACAGGAGCAGCTGTCATTCAGGGCCAAGAAGATGATCCTCAGTACCAGCAGCTGGAGCAGAGGCTGGACGGTCTTGATAAGGGATGGGATGAGCTGCACAAAATGTGGGACAGCCGCAAGAGCTTCCTAGATCAAGGTCTCGGCTTCCAACAGTTCATGAGGGATGCCAAGCAGGCTGAGGCCATCTTAAATAACCAGGTATACATACAGTATTCATCTGATGAACCTTGTAATGAAAACAGACATTTTGGGAAACCCAAACCGTGCCAATATTGCTACCTGCTTAATATTCTTTGCCAATAACCTTCAATTACAGTTCCATAATATTGTTCCTCCCTTTTAATTTGCTATGTCTCTTTCTGTGTCTTTTTCCTGTACTTTTTAAAAGGAATACATTCTAGCCCACATAGACAAGCCTGACACCCTGGATGGAGCAGAGATGGCCCTGAAGAAATACGAGGACTTTGTAACCACCATGGATGCTAATGAGGAGAAGATACTCAGCACACCGGAGACTGGTCAGAGGCTGGTGGACAGTGGAAACCTTTACTCAGAAAGGGTCAAAGACAAGATTTGCTCTATTGAAGATAGGTCTGTTTTTTTTATATTATTTCACCTATTTTACATCCAAGGTCAGACATACAACATAATTTACATATAACATTCCTCTTTGACTTAGCATATGAACTATCCACTAAATAAACTTGCCCTTTCAATCCAAATTCCATGCTTAATTAGATAGTAAAAGTGTATAAAACAGATGATTTTTAGTTCAATAGGCTCTAGCATCCCACACGACCCTACATAAGAAAAGTTAATGCAAAAGTTAATGATTTTGCCTATTACTTATCCTCTGGACCAGTATATAAAATGGAATGACAAGAACATTTATATCAAATAATTGACTTGTCAACTCACAATGTGAGTATAATTCAGAAAGCAATTAAAGGTTTCTCCTCAAAGTTCAGCTTTCTTTGTGCTGAATCGGGAGTGAGTGAGAGAAGCATTATACTGTAAAGGAGTGGCCTGCATTTCCCCTATTAGCCCAGGCAGTCTGTAGCTCCTTAAGATGGGCGCCTGCCCTGATGGGTATTGATCTCTTTGTGAAAGTATACCTAATCCATTGGCTTATGTTGCTTTTTTAAAGTGTTCTCTCTGCAGTGAGAAAATGGAGGAGTAAAGAAAAGCTATTTCAATGTCTGCCAGTATTCACATTTAACCATATAAAGTCCTTACACCACTTTGCACTAAAGACCAACCAGTAAATAACCCATATATTTATGTGTATATGTCTTCAGGTACAACAAGAATCGAGACAAAGCCAAGGAAGTCTCAGGGAAACTGAAGGACAACAGGGAACTTCAGCACTTTCTTCAAAACACCCAGGATGTGAGTAATGCTTTACTCAAAATTTTCATATATGCAAGATCACACATATTTGCTTCTAATATGAACATAAAGTTCTTTGTGACCTTTTCTCTCATTCAATGTACATTTACCTCTCTTTTTTAGCTTACACTGTGGATAAATGAGAAAATGCTGACTGCACAGGATACATCATATGATGAGGCTCGTAACCTCCATAGCAAGTGGCAAAAACACCAGGCCTTCATGGCAGAACTAGCATCTAACAAGGATTGGCTACATAATATTGATAAGGTATATAGCAATTTTATATGTACTTTAATAAAGCACAGCAGTTGGGTTTCCGAAGTAAAAACAAAAACAAAAAAACATCAAATTTTAATACGGGAAACATTTTTACAACAGCTTTTAAACATTTAAAGACAGACCTACCTTGAGCTCTAATTTGTTATTAAACAATATAAGATTCCGTTGAAGCCCTAGTATCAATGTGTTGAAATTATTGAAAAAATTAATATGTACTTTCAACCATGCTCATATTAGGAGGGACAGAAATTGATGGAATCCAAGCCTGAGTTTGAGCCCATTGTCACCGATCGTCTTGCTAAGCTTCATGAACTTTGGGATAAGCTGGAGAGCACCACACAGGAGAAGGCTCGGCTGCTTTTTGACGCAAACCGTTCTGAGCTGTTTGATCAGAGCCTTGCTGACCTGAAGAAATGGTTGGCTAAATTGCAGCAGCAGCTCCAGGGTGATGTGGACGAAGAAGTTAAGGATCTTACTAGTGCCAACATCTTACTGAAGAAACATCAGGTGTAACATTAAATTTGTTACTTTTTCATTGTTTTGTGTCTACTATGATTCAGTAGAGTACCTCACATGAAGCCAACTATGGTCTGTGCTTTGTCTTTCCATATTTGGTGGTAATTTATAGAATACTGCTTAAATTTGCCCTATTCTCCCCTAGATGACAGAGAATCATGTTCGGGATCATGCACGGGAGCTTGAAGAACTTCAAGAAGCTGTACAGCAGCATGCTTCTCTTAGAGAGGACCAACCTGAGCTTGAAATTGAGCAGCAGACACTTCAGAGGGACTTCCAGAAGCTCCTCACACCTCTCGCCCAACGCAGGGGCAAGCTGGAGGCCGCTAAGGCAGTGCACCAGTTCTTCAGAGATCTTGCAGATGAGATAGTATGTGCATGCCTAGCATTACAGCTTCTCAGAATGCATCATTAGTTTTTGTTGATCTTTCTTCCTAAAGAATTCTTACATAAAAGTTTTGATTTGTTCTTCTCAGCTCTGGGTTAACGAGAGGTTACCAATGGCAATGTCAGAAGAACATGGCAACAATCTTCAGACTGTCCAACTTCTGCTCAAGAAGAACCAAGTGAGTTTTTCATTTTTTCCACTTACACCCATAAATCATTCCTAATTAACCAGATTGGCAGAACACAACATGACTTCACAACATGGTCTTTCTCCATCTATGGTCTATTTCAACTTGTATTGGAAGTAATTTCTATTATATTCACCAAGTGATCATGCCTCCTTTCATATACATCACCTACCCCTTTAATTATAATCCTGCACAGTCTCTTCAAAAAGAGATTGACGGTCACCAGCCACGCATTGATGAAGTGTTAGAGCGTGGTCGGCGAATGGTGGCAGCAGCAGAGGGTAGTCCAGAAGAAGAACACATGTCTGAGGAGATGAAGAAGCTCCAGGATGTGTGGGCAAAGCTGCAGGATGAGATGGTCAAACGGAGAGCACGGCTCTATGGCTCTAATGAGGCCCAGCAGTATTACAATGATGCAGATGAGGCTGAGGCCTGGATAGGGGAACAAGAACTCTACATGATTGCTGATGAGAAGGCCAAGGTAGAGCGTACAGAAGAACAGTATTGTTGTTTTATGCTGCTTGTCTTAAAAAAAATCTTCAAAATGCCAAGTTATGTCAACTCTGTGCTGGCTCCAAATTTTGTGTGCAATGAAAAGCCATACTAAAATAAGCTGTCTCTGACAATTAATCTCTCTGGGTTGTAGGATGAACAGAGTGCTATGATCATGCTGAAGCGACACCTGCTTCTGAAGCTGGCAGTGGATGACTATGCACGCTCCATCCAGCAGCTGGCAGACCGTGCCCAAAAGATGCTGGCTGAAGAGCACCCAGATGGGTATATTGGGCTAATTGCATGTCTTTACACAATGTATTGTATATTGAAATAAGTGGGCCAAGCTGAACTGAATCTTGAGGCACCTCAATGTAGGTTAAAACGCTCCATAATAAAGATTAATCGTTATTTGTCTGTATGTGAAGCGAGGCCATCATCCGAAGACAAGGACAAGTTGACAAGCAGTATGCTGGGCTGAAGGAGCTGGCAGACGACCGCAAAAAGAAGCTGGACCACACATATCATCATTTCTTGCTTAGTCGTGAAGTGGAGGATCTTGAGCAGTGGATTGCAGAGCGTGATGTGGTGGCCTCTTTACAAGAGATGGGCCAAGACCTTGACCATGTGACGGTAAATTCATTCATTCATTCATTCATTATTTATTTATAAAGCACATTTTAAAAAAACCCAGGGTTGACCAAAGTGCTGTACAGATAATAGAAGTCAAATAACAAAAAAAATAAATAAAATAAAATAATAATAATAAATTAGAAATCCACACTAAGCAAATGTGTTTTAAGTTTTGATTTGAAAGAGGAAAGTGATGACACCATTCGGATCGAAACCGGTAGGCTGTTCCAGAGTTTGGGGCCTACTGTCGCAAAAGCTCGGTCTCCACGATGTTTTAACCTCGATCTACACACAGAGAGCAATCCAAGGCTGCCTGATCTAAGTGACCTAGAAGGATTGTGATAATGTAAAATGTCAGAAAGATACGCTGGTGCTAGGCCATGTAATGCTTTAAAAACAAAAACTAGAATTTTAAAATCTATTCTCAGTTTGACTGGTAGCCAATGCAGAGAAGTTAAGATGGGAGAGATATGATCAAATTTTCGACTGTCAGTCAGCAGCCTGGCTGCAGCATTTTGTACCATTTGAAGACGCCCGATGGATGATTGATTTGCACCATAATAAAGTGAATTGCAATAATCAAGGCGTGAAGTAATAAATGCATGGATAACTTTTTCAAAGTTCTTTAAAGAAAGAACAGGTTTGACTTTTGCGAGACGTCGTAAATTATAAAAACAGGATTTAACAACAGAATTAATTTGTTTATCGAACTTGAGACCTGAATCAAACAACACACCTAAATTTTTCGCACATGGAGTAACATGAGAACTTAAGTCGCCAAGGTCCAGATCACCAAAATCATAGGAATCACTTGGACCAAACAGCATAACTTCGGTTTTATTCTCATTTAAGGCTAAGAAATTCTGTGTAAGCCAAATTTTAACTTCATGTAAACAAGCTAGCAGAACCTCTATGGAACTTGAATCATATACTGTATGTTTAAGAGGAAGGTATAATTGGGTGTCATCGGCATATAGGTGGAAAGATACTCCATATTTGGAAAAGATGGAACCCAATGGCAGCAAGTATAAGGAGAACAGTGTTGGAGCCAGAATAGATCCCTGCGGAACACCACAAGAAAGATGTGCAACTGAGGAAGTGTGTTTTCCAATACAGACAGAGAACATCCTATTAGTTAAAAAAGACTGGAACTAAATAGGCACTTGCCCCCAGACAAAGCACAATTACTGTCTCTCACATAAAAGCATGTCTTGACATGTGCAATATACGACTTTGCATATTCAGTCATACCATTTTAGATAAATATAATTACAATCAATATTTTCCTGATTCCATCAATTTTTTAGATCCTGCGAGATAAGTTCAGGGAGTTTGCACGGGAGACAGGGACAGTGGGTCAAGAACGTGTAGACACTGTGAACCGGATCATAGATGATCTGATTGAAGCAGGCCACAGTGAGGCTGCAACCCTAGCGGAGTGGAAGGATGGAGTCAATGAGAGCTGGGCAGATTTGCTGGAGCTCATCGACACTCGTGCCCAGCTCCTTACAGCCTCCTATGACCTGCTTAAGTAAGTATAAAATAATTAAATAGATTAAATGTCACTAAAGAGTGCAGTGCTTTTATAAGATCACATTATTCCTACTGACTCACTGTATCTCACATAAAAACAAGCCTATGGAACAAGATTCTAATTATTTAACAATATCTTCACCTGTGTGAAGTGTTGTAACGGGTACAGAATTAGACTGGAAAACATTATCTAAAATATTCTGTGAATTTGGTCAGGTATTTTTATGATGGTAAGGAGCTGGTTGCTCAGATTGAGGAGAAGAAGAATGAGCTTCCTGAGGATCTGGGAGAAGACTTCAGCAAAGCAGAGTCCTTCCACCGAATGCATGCTGCATTTGAAAGAGCCATCAGCTCCCTTGGCAAACAGGCAAGGAAAACACATTACATGAACAAGTGGTTGTCATAATAAGTTTCATGTTTTCATCTCTGACTTGTACATATTTACCTCAAAAAGTTAGGGATTTTTCATATCTCTTTCCTTGCAGGTGAAACAGTTCCAGGAGACCGCAACAAGACTGTATTCCCAGTATGCAGGAGATCAGGCCACTGCTATTCAAGCAACTGAAAAAGAGGTTGTGGAGGCCTGGAATGGTCTGCTGGCTGCTTGCGCAGGCAGGAGGAAGCAGCTGGAGGATACTGCAGACAAATTCCGCTTCTTCACCATGGTGAGAGACCTACTGGCCTGGATGGAAAGCATCATTCAGCAGATAGAGACACAGGAAAAGCCACGGTATGGAAATGTATAATTGTAATCATTACAGTAGAGATGTCTATGTTCCTTTTTGTGATGAAATTTGTTTCTTGTTGTCCAATGAAGAGATGTCTCCTCAGTGGAGCTCCTGATTAAGTATCACCAAGGGATCCGTGCTGAAATTGAGACGCGTGGGCCAAAGTTTAATCAGTGTGTGGAGCTGGGCCGGGCCCTCCTGGAACGCAAGCATAAGGACTCTGCAGAGGTAATCAGACACAGAAGGTAGCAAGTGTAGCCACAACGAAGTGTCCGGAAAGGCATCCATTTTCATGTACACTTCTTGTGCTCACAGATTAAAGAGAAGCTGATGCAACTGGTAGAGAAGAGGAAAGAGATGATGCTCAAATGGGATGAAAGATGGGAATGGCTTAGACTTTGTAAGTCCACAAATGTCAACAAACACACATGAAAAGACACACACAAACATACACACTACTGCATATTACAGCTGCTTATAATTATATGTCCTTCTAGTGTTGGAGGTATGTCAGTTTGCCAGGGATGCATCTGTGGCAGAGGCCTGGCTGATTGCCCAGGAGCCATACGTGGCCAGCAGGGATCTGGGTGAGACAGTGGATGAGGTCGAAAAACTGCTCAAGAGACATGAAGCCTTCGAGAAATCCACTGCTACATGGGAAGAGCGTTTCTCAGCACTGGAACGTCTTACAACAGTATGTGTGTTTTAAACTTTGACATATTAAACTCATTAATGATACCTCAAATTATGTGAATTGTTTTCACTGGCAGGCACCACTCACTGACTATTAATAATCTGTTGTAGTTGGAGCTGTTGGAAATTCGGAAACAACAACAGGACATAGAACAGTACAGACAAGAGGCGGAAAAAGAGAGCAGGTATATATACTAGAGCTGTAATCGGGCCTTAAAAGTGAGGCCCGATAGGGCCCGAGCCCGACAGAATTCAGCCCGAGCCCGACAAGTACATTTTGATTGACAGCTTTTTAAAAGCCCGAACCCGTTTACAGCCCGACATTATTCAAATGTACGCACGCACACAGCTCTTTTGCATTTCAAGAATGAGTCATTTATACATGTTTTAACAACATTTATTCATGACTAACGTAGGCTATAGGCCACTTGGAAGTTGGAACAAAGAAATAAAATAAGTCCTCTGTAACATCGTAACATCTCAGCACTCTAAATAGGCCTAGGCATACACTTAGCCTATAAATAGGCCAACGCGCCAATAAAAATTAGTCTTTCTTAACAAATTAAATTAAGATAAATTCTAAATTAAGATGGGTATTTGGCAATAACGAAATTAAGATAAAGGCTCCGCGGGATTTTGAAATTTAATAAAAGAATAATGCCAACATTAGCCTATATCTACATTATGCATTTAAGACTCAATTAATATAGTTATAATTTGAAAAACCTTTACTCACCAAGATTAGGCTACATGTTTTTGTGGAGGAAAATTATTGAATCCACTGTAGATGGCTTCAGCGCGGTCCTGCGCTCACTGATGGTGCGTCCAGCAGCACTGAACACCCTTTCACTGCTGCTGCTACTGGCCAGGATGCATAGTACTGATCTGGCAAATTTTGCAAGTTTTGGGTAGGATGGCTTGTTGATCTTCCACCAGCCAAGAACATCCATTTAATTTTCCATGACAGCCGTTTCAATGTAGCGAGTGACCTCGTCATCTTTCCAGTCAGCTTGCTGTACATTTTCCTCCTCAGCATCCATTTCGCATCTTTCTCACGCTAATCGAAACGCATCACATGACTACTCATTTACCGCGCAAGCCCGAGCCCGGCCCGAGCCCGTGTAAAATGATATAAATTAAGCCCGAACCCGACCGAACCCGTCGGGTCCCATCGGGTCCCGTCGGGTTCGGGCAAAGATCTTCAGCTCTAATATATACACAATCTGGGTAACACTGTACTTGCCTAACGCCATATTCCATACTAAAATTTGACATTCAAACTTTGACCTTAGGAGAGAAGACACTGGGTTTGCAGAGGAGTCTTCACAACTCTACACCACAGAAGAACAGTCTCTGGTGAGTTCCAGTTTTTGTAGGAATCTCATCATCTTTCTCTTCATTAACAACATTCTTCTTATCAGATATTCTTTCACATTTCATGTTGTCATCTTCTATTGCAAATACAGCATACAATAACCTATAATATAATTTTACTTTTTGTACTGCAAATGTTTGTTATAATTAATACCTGTAATACTTGTTTGAATCTGTACCCAAACTTTGTTCTTTTGTGATCTTCAGTCTGGTTTAGGAGTAATAGAGCCAAGTTCCGTGGGAGTTGATGGCACAGCGGGGGACTCCACTGTGCCTTTGATCTCAGAGATGCAGGAAAGTGGCTCACTGGAGCTGGACCCTTCCACATCCATCCAGGTTACCAAAGAGACAGAAAAAGCTGCCACGCTTCCCACTGAATCTTCACAAGTTCAATCAGTCTTGATGGAGGGACCTCTATCCCGCAAACATGAGATGGAGGGACCTAATAAGAAGGCATCCAACAGGTTAGCTGTTGTCTAGAGACAACCAGAAGTATCCAAGCCATTGACCAGAATACAACAGTGACTTTGGCTAAATCAAAAGTAGTCATCATTTTACTAGTGAACTTAATTTAAAACGGTCCACCTTCTCATCTCTTGTCTTAGGTCCTGGAACAACATTTACTGTGTGCTTAAATCTGGGCAGCTCTCTGTTTACAAGGATGCCAAGAGCTTTAGTCACAGTGTCACCTACCATGGTGAGGAACCCCTGAACCTCACCAATGCTTCTTGCGAGATCTTGACTAACTATAAGAAAAAGAAGCAGGTGTTCAAACTCCAGTAAGGTTCTTGGTCATCAATCTTGATTTATTAATTTTTAAATAAAAATGTATTTAAGTGTTATGATATATATTACATATAGGGCTTACTTGTTTTATCCTTGTTCCATTTGCCAGACTTGAAGATGGAAGTGAATATCTGTTCCAGTGTAAAGATGAGGTGCGCTATTGACTGCTTCTTTTAATTAGTTCCTTATTAGTTAATATAATCTTTGAAATATGCCAGTAAACAACATTAATTATGTATGTTTTTTTGACCACAGGAGGAACTCCAGAACTGGACTCAGGCTATAGAACAGGCAGCACAAGCTGTGACAGAAGAACCAGTTGCAGGGCCATCAGGAGTGAAGGCACAAAGCCTACCTCCACCTTCTTCCTCTACTCTAGAGGTTCCCTCAACCAAGAAGGAAAAGGAGAAGAGGTTTAGTCTGTTCGCTAAGAAGAAATAAACTCCTGGACAGAATGTGACACAGGTGAAATGGAACAGATTTATAACACCATTTTTTTTTTTTTACATTATATTAATTTGTAAGAATTTAGCTATATGAAATGTAGATTACACTGCTGCCTGTATCTAAGCTAATGACGTGTTGCTAATGTCCACACGTATGCTTTTTTATGTTTTGCTGTATTTTTCTGATACTAGAGTCACATACCACATTCACTCTGTATACAAATAAAAGCACAGGAACCAATCAAATTTAACCAAAAATATTTGTAAGAAAAAAGGAGTTCTTCTTGTCTTGATTTTTTTGTTATGTGTTGAGTTTCTTCTAGGCATGCTTCAGTATGTATTTTGACTATAAATAACATGCTTAGTTTTGTTAATCTGCCTTATTCCTTTAAAATGGTTGCAAATGTAATACTGTGCTCTTTGCATCGGAACTTATAGAATTTAAATAGAGGTTGACATTGGAGAGGTGTTTCTTTTTGTAAATGGTCATCAGCTAGCAGGAGGTGTGATGATGGTGTTTAACACTATAGCGTTAACATGATCTATATGCAATAAGCAGTGTTTAGTGTACTTTTAGACTGTTTAGGTGTTGTATTTTTCATTATTCCAACAAACATATGAATATTAATATTTTCATAATATTATATTCAAATGTGAACATATTCATGCCATTATGTATGAATGCATTAAGAAGTACAGCAATGGTACTAAAGAGAATACAAAGATGAGAGAGGTAGATTTTTTTCTTTCCAAAACCTTAACTACGCTGAATACTTTTGGAAAAGCATGAACTAATATATTTATTTAATATGGTGCTATATCTTTAAGATAAGAGTTTTACCCTCTCATAACTCAGGTTCCCTAGTATTAGTCACATTATAAATGCCCTTACACAAGGACAGAAAAACCAAAATGTATCTCTCACATCATCATAACAATGATTAAAATTTGAAAGTGATGTGTACAGCTTGGATAATGCAGTATAAATTAAACGTGGTAGCCAATGAATGTTTGAAAACATGGAGAATAGTGTGTCATACAAATATGAATGTAGAAATAATGGTAAAGGGGAAATTTTACCTGTAACATAATAATAATAATATTAATAACTTCCTAAATACATTTAAACTGAATGCTCATATTCTGATCATGCTAATTAAATATTCATTACTTATATTTTAACTACGTTTTTGAAATGTTGTATCAAAACAGTAAAACAGTACATTGAATTTAACACAGAATTGAAGAGCCCTATTTCCAAAGTCTTAGGTTTTTTCAGTATTATATTAATATGGATATATATGGATATATCCATACTGTTTCTGCCAGGCACTGCAAGCTAAAATAAGCAATGTTTTTTTTTTATTTGCATTTTTTCTTTTTCTTATTATTATTATTTTTTCTTTTTTTTTATTGCAGAAACATTTTTAACAATAGTTAAATTTCATCTCACTGTTGGTTTCTTGGATATGAATATGTTTACAGAGTCATGTTTTGCGAGGGTCAGCATGGTGCTTTATTAAGATGGTGTTTTTTTTTTTGGCCATTACATCTCGGACCTCCAAATCTTTCTTTCTCTCTCTCTCTCTCTCTCTTGGTTTAAACACACTGCAGTCTACGTTAGAATTAACTCCCTTTCAACTAATATGCCTCCATTCTCTCTTCTCCTTTTATATCTGTATGTTCAATGCAAAATCACATATAATAATTTGAAAGCAAGGTATGACTCATTTTAGGAGCATAAAAATCAATAAACTGTGTTTGCAGTAACCATTGCCCATTTTTGTCTGTTTAAGGACTTGTAGTGTGTGTTTCTGTCTGAGTCTTATTTACTTTTCTATTAAGTGAGTATTACACAGTCTGATCAGGTAAAGTTGAATTAACTAAACTAAGTAAAATGTTATTTAAAATTAATGTTAAAACATACCGCTCTTGTCCAGTAGAAGACACTGCTGTGCTGAGCAAGTGTGAGAATGTTGTAAGAAAATAGTGATGTGTTTAGTTCATGAAATTCATGGAGTAACATTTACACTACATCCACTCAATGTCAAACTAAAATCATTAGACGTTGATCTTTTGTTGGTTTTAGGTTGTGGCATTAACACTACCACTACTTAGCAATAAAACTAGTAAGTTAATACAGACTCAAGATTATGTTGTGCACGAATTAAACGTCATGAACGTAAATGACATATTTTGGATTCAAAAACGACTATTAAATCTACAGTAATCGATGAACCAACGACAAAAAATATTTTTGCTTTATTTTTTTAAAGTTGCATTTAAAATTTGAATAAGAAAACTGAGGGGCACATGACGCTACTATTCATGGCCTTCATAAATCAATGCTTCGAAGGTTAATCCAGCGTGTAATAATAGCCCAAAGAGGATCATTTTAAAGGTAGAGGATTCATAAATGCACGGAAGTGTGCGAAACAAAGTGTACATTTTCAAAATGTACAAAAACATACATTTTACCTGCTGAGGGTGCCATCGAGCCGCGCCGTTGAGGGCTAGTTGTCCCGACAGCAGTTTGGGCTTTTGGTCACGTCATTTTGAATGGAACCCAGTACTCACAAGCCTGCTATTGGTCGGTTTACTAGCACCCGCCTATGGGTCCGCGCAGCTGATTGGCTGTTGAGCACGTCACTCTCCTGTGCTGTTCGTGCGGGTGCAGGTTGAATGCGCGGCGACAAAGTAACTCCAGCAATCGCTGAGAGTAAATGGAGAGAAGTTGAACTTTAATCGCGCAAGTCCGCATAGACCATAGTGTTTTATTTTTTATGTATCCGTAACCTTTCACTATTGGGATTGTAAGTCATTTCAAAGTTTTAAAACTGTTACCTCAAAGGATGTCTTTTTATTTCCAGAATGGATTTGATTCGCGTCCCCTGCATTGTTCTGCGGCGGACAGTAGTGTGGAGTACCTAAAGCCTTAGAAGAGTCCGACACACTTTGTTTTTTTATTTATTTTTTTAGACGCACCTTCAGTTGCTAACTCTTGCGTGGGTATTTTGTGTGCTGTCCCCCCCCCAAAATGGATATTACAGTGTCTGAACTCGTGTCTAACTTCATGGATTCGCCGCTTGTGGTTTGGGTAAGTCACAAAGACATGATGGCACCTGCTGTGTGTGCGCGGAGTTTGTATTTGCGTTGTGTAGTTTGTTTAGCAGCGGCCAGTGACAGTGCAAACCTGAGCAATACTAATATGGGCTTGATGCTTTATGTTTGTATCAAACCTAGTGGAAAGAGACTAACATGCTTTTCATTTAGCAGATGTGTATGAGCGTATTAAATTATGCTTAAACTTTATTGCAACATTTTGTTGTTTTTTTTATCTATATTTTAATACATATAACTCAGTGCTAAAAGTTGTATTTATTTGTTCATTTTATTTTGTTCATATTTTATTCTTTATTTATTCTCTACTTATGTAATATACGTTTTAAAATTAATAGTTGTTCTTACTATATATATAATATTTACTTATTTATTTTAAATATAATGTAACAAATATGATTTTTTTTTTTTTTTTTAATGAATCCCACTAGGTAGAAATGTTTTTAAACCTGTAAGCACAACAGCTTAACATTAGTACTTTTTGTGTGCATACTTCTTCATTCTACACGAAGAGTTTAATGACACTTGACAGGGTTTGGCGAAACCTGCGGAACTTCCTCTGACCCCCTTACCCTGACCCCTGTGTCCTGTTTGGCTGTGCTTTCTCTAGCCACTGTGTTTCCAACTCATACGTCACCATCTTAACCACATTAGACAATCATCAACACTCCCATGTTGACATGTGTGCTGTGTCATGATACTGTGTAACATTGAAAGAAACATAAACACACACATTGAGTTGAACACAGACTGTTTGACAAACAATATTTACTTAGTATTTATTAAAAACGATCTTACAAGTATCTCTTTGTAAATGTGTTTTAAATTTTGTAAACTCTGCAGTTCAGTTCTGAAACAGAAAGCATGCTTGTGCAGCTGTGCGTGCATCCTGTCATGATATTACTACCTACTTTATTTGATCTATTGATTTTTTTTTTTACAGGTCAAGACTTTTGGACCCCTTGGGTCCGGTTCAGAAGACAAGCTCTCCATGTTCATGGATTTAGTGGATGGTGTCTTCCTCCATAAGATAATGACACACATGTGAGTGACAGATGCAGAACTGTGTGTGTGTGTGTGTGTGACTGTGCCTACATGCTGTAATCTAGCAGCTGTTACGAGCCTATCTTTTTTTAATTCGAAACCACATCCTATTCTTTCCTGCCTGACATCCAACTGTGCAGACACTCAATCCGAATCTTCACGCTCCATCAGTTTTGTTCCTCTTCCATAATTAGTGTGTCAATAAAGGGTCTCCGGTTGATTTGGGGCTGTACTTTGCCAAGAGTTTTTAAGGTCATGTGTAACATCAGTTTGCAAGCATGCGGTATAAACTTCAGCCGCGTCTGACTGAATGTTAGGCCACAGAAGTTTCGGTTAGCTCAAGCTGTAACCTCAGCTAACAGGTGACTAGGCAGCAGCACTGTCGTTTGTGAGTCTTACTAATGAACAAGGAAATCTCTTCTTTTGAGAGTATTTGCATCATGCAAAGCAGCTCATTGCACATATTTTGACACCTAGAGTTTGTGCATCTAGATTGAGCTTTATAAAACTACTGTTTTCGACTTCTTGAAGCCGCTGCATCAGCTTTGTCCTTTAACCAACTTTTACTCGAGAAGCTTTGCTGCCCTCTCTGGCTTAATCAGGGGCTTGAACACTAGACCACCTCCAGACAAAGGAAATATTTTCTCTATAAGTGGGGGTGGGGGGCATGTCTAATGGGAGGATGACATGTACTGTATTAGCTGTCCTCAGACACTCTTGTCGCCGTTTTCAATAGATTATTGTACACTGGTGTGTGTCATGTCACTTAGGGCATGGACTGCATCAGTTTTATTCCTCTAGTTGCCTTAAAGTCAACATGAAATGGCATTTGGAACCCGTTCTTCTTTCCTAATGTGACATATTTCCTGCTGAATTCAGGAAGTCAGCATGAAATCAAAGCTTGTAATTTGAATGCAGTATTGAAGTGTTTTTTTTATAAACTCTTTATCCATGCACATTTTTTAATGTCCCCTCACAACAATGTCTTTTGATGATATTTCCATTGGTGCAAGGGCAGGGCAATAATCCCTTCCAGCAATTCTGAGAATGTTTCACTCGCATATGCATCATAATAGAGAAGAAAAGATAATCACAATTTCTGTTTCATGCCGACTTAAAGATGATAAAAAAGTTTTAAAGCATCTTTAAAGGGGTCATATGATGCTTTTTTAAAGATCATTTTTTTGTGTATTTGGTGTAACAGAATATGTTGACATGCTTTAATGTTCAAAAAACTGACCTAGATATGTGGGGGCGTGTTAGAACGAGCCGTTTTAGGGGGGTGTGGCAGAGTCTTAACTTTGATAAAGAATATCTCTTTGGTTTTGAGACTTTAGTCTTTGCAACTTCAGGGATCTTATCTATTCACGAACAGCTTGTAACACTCCAAAGAGAAAGGAAAACTTGAAATCGCATCATATGACCCCTTTAAAGTTGCGTTCACTACAGCCAGATACACATTCAGATGAACAGATTGTTAAATAAAAAAAAAGTGAAATCTTGCCTTGGCAGCAAACTGAAATAAAATGTTAATTAATAAAATAACTAATAAGTATGAATTAAGTTAAATAAAAAAATAGCAATCTTGCCTTGGCAGCTAACTGAAATAAAATGTTTATTAATAAAATAACTAAGTATTAAAATGACTAAAACTAAAAGTAAAACAAACAAATAAATCTTAAATTAAAATGAAAACTGAAAATATAAAATAAAATCTATTATACTATTTAAATTAACACGGGTAAAAACTAGCCCAATTCTATATAAGCTCTTTCTAAGAAAAAATAATAAGATAAGTATAAGGAAATAATACAAAGAAACATAATTTTGATCAGGGTCAAGTGAACACAAAACCAGACATATTATACCTAGTTGATTATAGTTTTGCAACCTAAAAATTACGTAGTATATATATGTGATGTTAAAAGAATAATAAATCTTGTACATCGTTAGCATGAAGACTCACATACTCAGGTGTCCAGTGTATTTCCACTGAACCATTACAAATGAGTGGAGATGTGGAATGTTGAGGGCAATGTACAAACTGCTCCTTTCTCCTCACCCACATCCATTTTTAATATGCCCACACCAGTATGCCTGTAGCAAACCGATAGCCTTGACAGTGTATTCATTCACCAGGTATGCGGTAACACCATCGCTGTTATGCTAACGCATCCCATCTGGCAGATGTCCTCTGCATGCACCCTATCGGTCTTCCCTTGACTTTTACTAAACAATCATTGTTTTTCCAACCATGCTGTCAGTTGCAATATCCATGCTCGTAAAATGCCACAAAAAGTGAAACTCAATGCAGTGTTCTTGGCTTCAGGCAATAGAAAACAGTTGAGCCAGACAGCAGAGGAAAAAAGAAAACTGACCCTGATCTTTTAAGGTTCTTTCACTTGCAAGCGGGAATTTGCGGGCCAAGCTGGCAGAATTTGCATGCCATTCTCACAAAACAAATGTAAATGAGGATCGCACAAACAGAGTCTATGTAGGACCTCAGAACTGTCTGTGCCAAGACCAGGACCCACTTACTGGCTTCAACCTTTACATCAATGACCCAGTCCAGTGATATGAAAGCCTAATTACTTGTTATATAAGAATAACTTGGAATTTTTTGTTGATGTAAAGGATATAGTTTTTATAGTATATATATAGTATAGGATAGTTTATTCAAAACAAGGATTTGTTTGTAATCCAAGAAAAAAAAATCTATATGCAAAGTAAAGTAATGCAATGCTCCAAAGTGTAATGCAAAGATCAGGTCACTGTGCATTCCAATTAAAATTACTGATGTGCAAAACTACGTATCTTATAAATCAAGTTTTCAGCATTAATGGCAAATCATTCAGAATGCTTTTTGTTGTTTTGGAAACATTCCTACTGAATATGAATTAGAATAAAAGAGCAAAGATTAGAATAAAAGGGCAAAAGATTTAGTTTTTTAATGTTTATCTGTGGAAATAGTGAGAGAGATATGTTGCATTTGGAAAGAGACATGAGAGATTCCAAATGTAGCCAAGTGGAGTAATTCATGATGTTTTGATAAAGAATAGAATAAAAGAAAAAGAGAAAGTC